CAGCGGTTCTCAACCTGCCTAGAGCCGCGACCCCTTAATACAGTTCCTCATGTTGTGGTGACCCCCAACCATAAAATTATTTTCGTGGCTACTCTATAACTGTAATTTTGCTACTGTTATGAATCGTTATGTAAGTATCTTTTTGTTTTCCAATGGTCTTAGGCGACCCCTGTGAAAGGGTCGTTCGACCCCCAAAGGGGTCACGACCCACAGGTTGAGAACCACTACTCTACATATATAAGGGATTATTAGAACATATTCCCCACTACCTTACACCCTCTGCTCCAGCCTTAAAGAATGTTATCCTTTCACATGCCATGTTTTCTTTGGCCCCTGAAAATGGTGTACACTGTTCTCCCTTCTCAACCTTTTTTTGACACATTAACTCCTCAGTCTTCAAATCTAAGTTTAGATCTCCCTTCCTGGAAGACTTCCCTGACCCTCCTCTGGTCCCCAAGGCTGAGTTGCGTTAGATAGCCTTTTATATGTTTCCACCAGCACTCTGGGCCTGCATTTCCCTGCCTTAGCACTTACCACACTGATTGGTGCAAGCATCCTCTCTGAAGCTATAAGTACAGTGAGGCCCATGTCTGACTTTGCTAGCTATTGCATCCCAGTACATAGCACAGTCCTTAACTTAGCACACAATTGTTAAATGATTGAACCCTTCCATATTATTTACAAAAGCTTTTGAGACAAAAAGCAATAAATTTTTAAATGAGCCACACAGTAGACACTGAAAAGTTAACACTTAAGATTGACATGACTGGACTATCAGACACCATGACTGGGTCTTGAGAGTTTTCTTGGGTTTTGTTGTTTTGTTTTGTTTTTTTAATGAAAGTCTTCAAGGGATTCTTATTGAATAAGTCAGTATGGTTTATTTAGCTCCTACTATATCTCTGTGCAAGCCTCTAGAAATATATAGAGATATAATGATGTGTAAGACCCAGTTCCAGCCCCAGGTGTTCACAGTTAAGTGGGCAGTCACTTAACTGTTAGGGCTGTGAGTTGTTGAAGAGCTGTAAGAATAAAGCAGGGCCTCTTGTTTTGGAGAGTAATCACAAAATTCTGTTTAGGGATTCTGTGAGCTGTGGCAACTCCAGAATTTCTCTATAGTCAGGCATTTCGTTGAAAGGGGTGGGTTAGGGGTCTTGTTTCCAGGCCGCTGTTAGCTAGCAAGCACCTTATTTTTACTTAGATTAGGGTTTCTCAACCCCAGCAATATAGACATTTTGAGCAAGGTATTTCTTTGTTGTGGGGTTGTCCTGTGTATTGTGTATGTTTTGCAGCATCGCTGGCCTTGACCCACTAGATGCTAATAGCACCCCTGCTGCACCCTTGCGTCCCCCTCCCCCCCCAGTTATGACAACCAACGTCTCTAGATATTGTCAAATGTCCCCTGAAGTGGAGGAAAATCATTCCAGGTTGAGAACCACTGACAGACTGTTTATGATAGTGCGGAGAGGACCATCAGGAAGTTTTTTGTTTTGGATTACAGGGAACTGCCTCTATGTGTGGGTTTTAGCTTCCTTGGAAGTTTGCTGTGAAAGGAGGCAAAAATTACTCTTGTACACGGGCAGAACTCATTGCCTAATATTGGCATTTGAAACACAGCAGCGTGGCTGGCACACAGCGAATCTCAATAAATATATGTTGTATGCATTTTTTAGCGTACAGCTAAATAAGTGACAGGGTCTCCAGCAAGTGCCATGAAACTTTCTACCCAGAATCCACGACAGTCTATCTATGCAGTGCGGGGACCAGTTTGGGTAAATTTCACAACCACGTTGTTCCCAGGCCAACCTAGGGGCCGCCCAGGGTGTGGGACATCACTAGACTCGCCAGAAAAGCCTGGGAAGTAGACCGCTCACCTGGCGGCAGGAAGAGCGTGGCGCGCACCCGGCCCGCGCGCACCGGCTCCCGCCGCACCCCGGGTGGAAGGAAGACGCGCTCGTGCACCGCCCGGCCCAGGAGCCGCCCGGCCTCGGGCTCGTGGCCGTCGAGCACCTGCAG